ACATCCCAGACATGTTCCACCGTTTGGAGACGCCTCCCGAAGTCTGGCCCAATTTCGTCCTGGAGGAGGTGGGCGTCGACGAGTTCGTGGACTTCATGGCGGCCAAGGGGCGGGGGTGCGCCGTGCCCATGACTGCGAGACACTTGGCAATCAAGGCCTTGGTGATGGGTTGTCCGCGGGCCCCCTTCTTGGCCCACTCGTCGCGGCAGCCATGCAGGGCGCGGTGGCTCGGGGGGGGGGCTCCGTTGGGGCCCGCCTGTTCCACGGGGCCCCGACGCCACAGCTCGTCGGCTCCGATGGGCACGAGCCCTTGAATTGGGCGCACATGGACGATTGCGGAGCGATGGCGACCCCCGTGAGCGCAGCGGCCGGTGTCCGAGGTCGTCGGGGAGCTGACGGGCCGCGTCAAGCACTACCTCGCCAAGGTCGGACTGCCCGTCCACATGGAGATCGAGGGCGAGGGGCTCGAGTCGCTGGGAGCGGCCATCCAGGGTCGCCCATGCGTGGTCTCGGTCGAGGTCGAGCGTACCTGCCGCTTGGCGCTGGTGACGCTGCAGCTGACGGAGCGCCCATATTGGACCGCGGAGCTGCTCGAGCGGATCGTGGGGCTCTGGGCGCGGGCTGCCATATTTCAGCGCTCGGGCCTCGCCATCTTCGACCAGGTCGAGATGAGACGGCCCGGCGCCGCCAAAACGCCCTTCAGGTTGTCAGACGCAGCGCGATGGGAGCTCACTACGATCGCTTACTGCGCCCCGAGCCTCCACGGACCTCGAGGCGACGTGGCTCCCGCAGGCGTTCATGACGGACTCCAGCGACGCAGGCTACGGGGCGGCAGTCGCCGCCGCACCGCTCGGCGAGATCCGCAGGGATGCGAGGTGCAGCGAGATGGGGGGCTGGCCGATCGCCGCCGAGGACCTCTGCACGAAGCAGGAGGAAGACGCGTGGGCCCCGCAGGCAGGAGGCTGCGCCTTCGACGGGGACGACCTTGCCGAGGCGCCCACCAGGCCCCAGCCGCTCTCGACGCAGCGGGTCTACTGGGTGCCGCACCTCTGCGCGGGGAGGCGCCGCGAGGGGGGCCTAGAGGAGATGATCCACGAGCGAGCGGAGCGCGAGGGCATCGAGATCGAGGTTCGGTTCATCGACGCCGTCGTCGACCCGAAACACGACCTCGCCAGCGAGACGTTCGTCGGCATGCTCCTGAGGCTGGCTCGGGCTGGCCACTTCCACGCGGCGGCGGTGCACTACGTGGAGCCGGGCGCGCTCCCTTGGCCGAGGGCCGAGGCCGTTGCGGACGAGGCAGGAACCGCGGAGCCGGAGCGACATCAAGTTCACGACCTTCGAACGCCGACGCCTGGATCTAGGGGCGCTCCTCCTGCGGACCGCCGCGCGGGTGGTTCGCGCTGCCTGCCTGGCAGGGGGCCTCGGCATCATGGAGCGCCCCGCTAGCCCCGAGGAGGAGCCCTTCCCGTCCATCTGGGACCTCGACGAGATGGCGGAGCTCATCCAGACCGCGGTCGGCCAGGTCAACCGCATCGACTAGTGCCGCTACGGGGCGCCGTCGATGAAGCCCACCATGCTCGAGATCTTCGGGAGCTACGACCGCGGGGCAAGCTCGGCGGTGGCACAGCTCCAACTGCGGCGCAACCATCACGGGCGGCATCCAGAGGCTCTCAATGGACGAGCCGAGCGAGGGCGACCCGATTTCCGCACCTCCTCGGCCCAGGCCTATCAGCCGCCCGTGTGCGCCGCGCTGGCAGCCGCGGCGATCGAGGCCCTTCGCCTGCGTGGACCAGGAGGGAAGCGGCCCCGATCCGACGGGGGCGCTGAAGCCCCCCCAGGCGGCGACCTTCGGACCGCCGACACCAGGTCGGGCCAGGGACGAGGTGGGGCGAGGCGATCGCATCAAGGCCCCGCCGCCGGCCGCTGCGTGGATGCCGCTGGCGAGGTGGCGCCCGCTCTACTTCGGCAAGTGGAGGGTCACGGAGCACGCGAACATCAACGAGGCCCGTATGGTGGTGGGACTTCTGCGGCATCAGGCGCGATGCGGTCCTGATCCTGACCGACAGCATGGCGGCGCTGGGGGCCCTGGGCAAGGGTCGATCCAGCCCCCCTGCTCTGCTGCGGTTGTGCCACCAGGCCGCGGCCATCACAATGACCTTCGGGATCTACGGCTGCTGCCGGCACGCGCCATCGGAGCCGAACGCGGCCGATGGCCTCTCCAGAGGAGGAGGCATTCTCGGGGCAGCGCCCGAGACGGCGGCGGCGCGCAGCGATCGGGCCGCAGCCCCCTCGGGCGAGGCCGCCCCCGACCTACGCCCAGGGCGATCCCATTCGGACCCCGCTGGTGGCTAGCCGCCGCTGCGATGCGCAGCGCCTGCCGCGCGGATGCAGTCAGGGCTCGTCCGCCGAGAGCGGGCGAGGTACCCCATCCAGAAGCGAGGGCCGCTGGCGTGGGCGAACTACGAGCGGGGGCCGCGCCTGGGCATCAGCGAGGGGGGGCCTCGCGCACTCAGTGGCGGGCGCGACAGCCGTGCAGTGGGCGCCCAAGGTTCGCGACTTCCTCATTCACTGCGTCGCCCAGGGCTGGGGGCTGAGGTCCGCGAGCGCCGCGGGCCACGCCCTGGCCGACTTCGTGGGCGTGGAGTGCTGCAGGGGCCGGCTTTGCCCCGCCCAGGGGCCCGTCGCCCTCTTCGGGTTGCTGGCGATCTGGCCCAAACTTCGGAACCAGCTCCCGCGTGCCCTGAGGGGCCCGAAGAGCTGGCAGAGGCTGGCCATCTCCGTCGAGGGCGGCCCGCTGCCCGAGGAGGCCGCCTCCGCCATCGCCCCCTACTTCTTCGAGGCCAGGCCCCCCGAGGAGGCGATCTGGGCGCCGGCGCAGCATGGCGCGCGCGGCCGAGAGCAGGACAAGGAGATGCCGCGCGCGGCCGGCATCTTGGACGGCCGCTGCGCGGGCCTCCTCGTCGGCGTCTCCGCGCGAGGCGACGGGGGCAAGGCGGGCAGCGATCGGGGGGTGATCGCGCGCCGCGGCGCAGCGGCGAACATCCCCCTCTCGATGAAGGAGGTGAAGAAGAGCTCGGAAGGGGCCCATCTTCGGCAGGCGCCAGGACGGCTTCCGCAAGGAGTGGCACCGAGCCTGCCGCGCGCCGGACATGCCGCGGGCACCGCCGCCGCACGGGCTCCGACACTTGGGGCCCAGCGAGGGCGCGGCCCGAGGCCGAGCCACCCTCGAGCAGGTGCGGAGGCGAGGCCGATGGAAGGCCCTGTCCAGCGTCCAGAGGTACTCGAAGACGTTCGCCCTGACACAGTTCAAGGCCACGATGCCCGGGGAGGTCAGAGACGTCGGCCAGCGCGCGCGCAGGGACCTGCCCGCGGAGATCACCCGAGCCCTGGCGACGCGAAGCAGCTACAACAAGCATGGCCAGCAGCTCGTCGCCGCCATCGCCACCAACCTGAAGGCGCAGAAGGCAAAGGATGTGGCGGCAGAGCTCCTGATGATCAAGCCAGGCCAGCAGTCCAGGCGCAAGAAGCCAGAGGCCCCAGACTCCGACGACCTCCACTCGAACGAGACGTTGGGAGAGGCGACAGATTGGTAGACAGAGCGAGGGGGGGGGCGGCGTGACGGACAGGGGTGGGGGGAGGGGAGCAGCTCGCCGAGCGCCCCAGTGCCCCCCCCCCCCCAAGGAAAGCACAGCCGCGCGACCAATCCACGCGGCGCCAAACCGCCCAGCCCGTTTCAAGAGACGGCTGCGCCAGGCATCAATGCGGGAATGGCATGAGAAGGTGCGGAGACCCACGGCGCCAAGCATCTGTTGTGTAGTTGGTCAATGTATTTAGTCTTATCGGCTTCCCGATGAATAGTTATGATATGCTCGGCCCATCTGGGCCTTCCTGGAGCGTGCGCGTGAACATGTTGCGTCGGCACTATCTGTCCATAGCCGCTTCGCGGCGTTGCTGCGCGCCCGGCCGCTGACCATATCTCTTCAGCTTCGCTGGCCCCCTGCCTGAAGGACTGTGCGATAATGATCGTTCTCCAAACTTAATTGATCGTGTCTCGCGGGTGGTTGGGCGGGGGGGGCTTTGTGAGATATGCGTGCCTTGTAGTATTGCATGGCTCATTGGCTATATCTTTCGCGTCCGCTCAAGCTTTCCTCCTTTTGAATAGTTTCGCAGCCCTGCTCTTGCGTGCGCGCGAGGGATGAGAAGGCGCGGGGGGCCGCGGCAACTCGAGTTTTTCTGTTGTGTAGTTGGTCAATGTGTTTAGTCTCATCGGAATCCCGATGAGTATGATATACTCGGCCCATCTGTACCCGACTGGAGCGCGTGGTTGAACAGATTGTGTCGGCGGTCTTTGTCCATACCCGCTTCGCGACGTTGCTGCACGCCCAGCCGCTGAACATGTCTCTTCAGCTTCGCTGGCCCTCTGCCTGAACCCCGAGACTATACGATGAGGGATTTTATCGACGCCGATTTCGGTCGTGGCCCATGCCCGCCGTCGCCGATTCGCCGAGTGACGCTGGCCAAGATGGACGGCGACCAAAATCGGCACCATGTCTCCGCGCTCCGTCTTGGTCATGGTCCCCGTTTTACAGTCGGGGCCCTGAAGAAGGAACCCTTTTCGTTGGGAAGGGGCTCCGTGTTCCTTACTTGTTTCACAGCCTGCCTCAAGTTTTCTTTATGTTTTCGATGGGAAATCGAAGTTCAACTTATGGCAAAAAGGGGCCTCGTTCCTCATTTGGGGTTCCTTAGGTCAACGCCCCGACTGTATATGGAGTCGCGTTTTTTCGGTTTAATTTGGCCCCCCTTGCTCCCCGGAGGGACACTGCTATTCTAGGTGTTCTTCATCATTTTGTTCTCGGGTTGGGTCCTTCGCTGCTCTCTGTTTTTTTTTCTCTTGCCCCCGCTTCCTCCCTCCTTCGCTCCTCTCGGTTTAGTGGGGCCAGACGTCGTGACCCCCCCTCCACCTTCGCCCTCCTCTAGAACCTCGAGCTCCCGGAGGCAATATGGTGTCCGCAGCCGCAGCCTGGGCCCTTGGCACGCCCGCGGCGCGCTCGGCCCCGCAGCGGGCACGGACAGGGTGGCGGGCTGGCGCGCCCAACCTCGAGCTGGCGCGCTCGGCCCCCCAGCGGGCTGGCGCGCTCGGCCCCCCAACGGGCACGGACAGGGTGGCGGGCACGCCTTCGAGCGCGGCGAGGGGGCGGCCAGGACTCGGCGGCTCGAAGACGGGGCCCCGAGGATGAGTGGCCGTGTGGACCGGGGGCGCCCAAGAGCGGGCTGAGAACTGTGTTGTCGAATGGGAAGGGGGGGAGGGGAGGAAGTTCGCGTGGAGGGGGAAGGGAAGGGAAGGGAAGGGGGGAGAATGGGCTAGGAAGTTCGCGCGGGCTCCTGAGGGACAGGGGGAGAGGCAGCTCGACGCTTCCGCTGTCGAATGGGAAGGGGGGGAGGAGAAGTTCGCGTGGATTCCTGAGGGTTCTTCTTGCCACGGGGTGTTTTTGCCAGCGGATGCGCCTTGTCGGGAGCTTCTCTCCGGGGGGGGAGCGGCCCGGATCGTCCCAAACGGCCGCCGGAGGCCCGCGTGCTGGCCCGAAGACCTTGGGACGTCGCCGGGGGGCGGATCTCACGGCCGTGGCCATGACGTCCCCCAGATGCCACGGCCCCCCTCCTGCTTGTTTCAGCACGCTTCCTGGCCCCCAGCCCTCCTTCGCGCACAGGGCTCGGGCCGCGATTTTCGGGAACCCCCCCTCTTCCACGCGCGCGTTCCTGGACGCCCCCGAGGGCGACTGGCCTCAAACGGTGCAGGCTCGGCCTGAAGGCTCGGCCTGGGATCCCCTTCGTATCCCTGGGTCCCCGTCCCTTCGGGGCCCCGCCCGCCTGTGAGCCGTCGAAACCGAAGAGCAAACAACGCCGTCACGAAATAAAAGAAGTCAGAGGTCCGCGCGGGTGTCTCGGATCGGCGCTGGGCCCCCTTGTTCGGAGGGGCCGGCGACGATCCAACAGGACCGTGCAGCCCTCCAAGCGTTTCTGCGTTTGTGCCGATGCCTCCTGGCCACGCGCAGAAGGGGGTAGGGGGAGGGGGGAAGGCTTCTTAGAAGCACCCCTGCTTCTTAGAAGGCGCGGGCCTTCTTTGTAGATGTGAGGCCGGCGCCTTCTAAGAAGCAGCCTCCTTCTAAGAAGCCTCCCCCCCTCCCCCTACCCCCTTGTGCGCGCCACCAAGCCTCCTCTTCGACTGCAGGGCACCCTTTCCACTCCAGGCCCCGCCTCCGAGCCGCCGAGGGGGCGCCCGATGGCCACCGGCACGGACCCTTGGCACGTCGCAGGCGACCCCTGGTTCACCGCGGCGCGGGTGCCCCAGGCGGGTTCGGGGTCGAATCCCCCCCCCGCCCTGCGAAATTCCTGGTTTCGCTATTCTCCCCCATCTCTCCTCTTCACGTTCCGATTCCTTTCTCCCCTCTGTCCCTCTCCCTCTCTCCCTCTATCTCTCTGCCCCGTCGGGTTCGCCTGTGTGTACGCCGGGACCCGTGCGACGATCTCAGTGCCAGGAGTCTGCCTTTCTCGGGTTCAGTTCTTCGGCGGAGCCCTTCAGCGCCCCCGCGGTCCCAGTCCAGTGCTGCTGGTGGTGTCGGGAGGGCAAAAACATGCAAAGCAAATTAGCCTGGCGAAGGACCTAGCCATATGCAGTTGTGAGTACCGTAGTTGTGAGTATCCTTCTCGGTGTAGGGCCACAAAATCTGAGTGGTGTGCCGAAATGGCGTGAAGAAGGGCTGCGGACCCTGGCGCTGAGGCCTTGGGTGGTGCTCCCTATGGCATATGGGGGCACGAAACGCGTGAGGGATGCGCCGAACTGATGTGAAGAAGGCATGCGGGCCCCGGCACTGGAGCCTTACATGGAACTCCCTCCGGGGCCAACCTAGGAGAAAGGAACGAGCCAGCGAATCCAGATTCTGTGCCCTCGCATGTTTGGGCTAGTTTGATTGAACGACTTGGAGCAACTCGAAAGGACCGATCCAACGGATGCACCTCAGCCTCCACAGGATCGGATGGACCTCCACTTCGGCGCTCACCCTCCAAGATGATTACAACCGTGAGATATCCCTTGTTTACACTTCCCCTTCGATGCTTTCGTTTTTGCTCGACTGGGCTACTCAGAGATCCCACGAGCGGGCCCTTGCGTCGAGCACTCTTGGGTTTCAAGGAGCCCGTGTTTGTGTCGATCCTCCGAAAAAGCTGTTAGGACCCAAGGGGAAGGGACTCTCTCTGAGGGAAAATTACCTGGTTCCCACGGTTTTCTGCAGAGGAATTTGGACGCGTGCGAGGGCACGCGCACGTGGGTATGCCACATCAGGAGACTGCCCACTTTGCGGCCTTCCTGACAGTGTTCGGCACCGTTTGTGGAGGTGCCTTCATCCAGACGCCGTCCAGGCTCGAGCTGATGCGCTCGGGGCAGAGCTGCCTGAGTGGTACGCCGAGGCACTGGACAGCGAAGATATGAACTTGTTCGATGAAATGAAGTGGGAACACCCCGAAAGTTCCTGCCCCCCCCTCGAACAACCCCAACCCCACCCTGTTCGATGCTGAAGGGGCGGAGGTCCCCTGGGACTCGATCGCTTAAAAGGGGCTTGATGTTTGTGTTGATGGCTCGGCGTTAAGGCACCCCTTAAGGGAACTCTGCAGGGCCTCCTATTCTTAGATCTTCTTGGGGACCACCTGTGATGAGCGTGTTGCTACCGCTCGAGGTACGGTTTTTGACACCCTCCCCCAGACCTCCCAGGCTGCGGAACAGCAGGCTATGGCCCTCCTCCCCATGTTTCAGACCAGCGGAGGGACTAGGGTCGGGGGGCAGCATGACGGTGATCAAGATGTGCTCCTCGCCGGTTGTGAACCAATGCTCGAGGAAACACCGCTACGCAGGTTTGCGGCGAGGCTCTCTGTTGCACGAGAAGGCTGACCACCAGCCGCAGTTTCGTCACACGCCCGCCCACTGTGCGATGACTACGATTGACCAGCTCCCACTCGAGGAGAAGAGAGTTGCCCTGGGATATTGGTATGTTGACGCCAAAGCCAAGAGAGCTCTCCTCAACCACCCCCAACACTCCCGCTTGGAATCCCAGGAGGTCGAGTGGAAGAATGATCAGCTTGAAGCCATGGCCCGTCTTGCGGGTGAAGTTTTGGCCGTTTTCCCGCAATATAGAGGTGATCGGAGTTTGAGTTCTGGTCTTAGGGCCAGGTTTCTGAAATCTGGAGGGTGGCACGCTTGGCAGGAGCTTGAGCACGGGCGTGCCAGATGCCTCCGATGTTTAACCCCCTCTCAGGACCAGGACTCCAAGCCCATGCTGGGCTGTAAAGGTATGCGCAGGAATCTTAGACGAACCCTGGATCTGACTCTAGGGCACACCCTGGCACATTGCACGGTGGCCCAGGGGCTCCGATGACAGGTTTTTTTTGCACGGTCTGCGGAGCCTGCGCGACCCGCAGACGCCGTCTCCTGGGGAGACAGTGCCAGCAGCGCAAGCTGGCCAGTGGCTCCCTCGCTTTGAGACGGCAAGCTTCCTCGGCGTCAGTCGAATGCCGAGGTCACGACGACTTCCAGACAAGGAGTCGCGAATCTGCGCCACGCCGCTGCGCCCCCGCCCCCAGGCGAGGTCGCGCTGCAACGTGCAGCGACGGGCCTTGTCCAGACAGAGGGCATGAGTGCTTTAAGCCTGCGCGCGCGGGCTAAGGAGGAGGCAGCTCGGGCTGCAGCCTCCGCTGGCGCACAAGGGCGTCGTGCACGCGTTTCGACCTCCGGGGGCCAAAACAGCAAAACAAAATTACTCCGACGGAAGAACCCCACATAAGAATCCTCTGGGCGAATCTGGAAAAAGCCATCACCGTCGTCCTCGTGGTTGGTGAGGCGTCCTGGCTGTCTCTTCTGCGTATATTTCCTCTCGCCTTGGCGCGGGCCCCCCTTCCACTCCTTACGTTGTCCCCATCCTCGCCCCCCTGTTTGTTCCGCGCCCCGCCACCTCCTCCCCTTCCTGTTGCATGAGCGCGCATGTCGATGTTCCTCGGCGCCGTCGCCGCCACGGCCAGCACAGGCGCGTTCTCTACTGGTCACGTCGCGCAGCCGTTGGGACAACCCCGCGGGCCAGGCTGTCGGGACAACCCCGCGAGCCGTTGGCGCGCAAGACCAAGCCGTTGGGACAACCCCGCGGGCTTCGAGCGAGGCGCAGCCGCGCTCAGGCGGAAGGCAGCACGAAGCCCAGCTCTGCCGCGAGCTGCTTCGCCTCCGCCCTGGACAAAACCGCTCTCTTGTCGAACTCCAGGAGCGCCTTCCGCAGGGACGCCGGCGGCCCGCACTCCAGGAACTCTCGCGGCGGCGGCCGCAGGATCAGCATGTTCCGCATGCACGTGGCGCGGGAGAACATGACGTAGAGGTGCAGCCACCACTGCTCGTCCGACATGCCCGTGCGGCCAGCGTCCTCGTCTCTCGCGCAGTCGATGGTGACGCCCTTGCGCAGCGTCTGGCCCTGCGACAGCGTGGAGGTCAGGTAGGACGCGTGCGTCAGGGTGAACCCCGAGCGGCGCACGCTGTGCGCCCCCGAGCTCTGCCATGTGAACTCCCTTTCGCTGGGCCTGAACATCAGCAAGCTCCGCGCCCGCGCCTCGGCCTGGCCGTCGTCGTCGGCGCCTTCGGCGCCCTGTCGCAGCACCTCGGCGACCTGAGGAGCCCAAAAACTTCCTTGTTGCGTCCAAAATGTGGCCTGGGAACTGCGTTCTGGCAGCGCGAGAACCCAAAATTGACGACAGTTACAGGTTTTGGATGACCCGCTCGGATTACCAACATGATCTGCGGGCCCAATAGGGAGGGGGCTCCCGCCTGAGACTTCCTCGCAGTTCACTCACAGACGAGGCTCCCGCCTGAGACTTCCTCCATATTCAAGCTTGAAGAGCCCAAAAGTGACGACAGTTACAGGGTTCCGATGACCCGCTCGGATTACCAACATGATCTGCGGGCCCCATAGGGAGGGAGCTCCCGCCTGAGACTTCCTCCCAATTCACTCACAGACGAGGCTCCCGCCTGAGACTTCCTCCAAATTCAAGCTTGACGAGCCCAAAAATGACGACAGTTACAGGGTTCCGATGACCCGCTCGGATTACCAACATGATCTGCGGGCCCCATAGGGAGGGGGCTCCCGCCTGAGACTTCCTCCCAATTCACTCACAGACGAGGCTCCCGCCTGAGACTTCCTCCATTTTCAGGCCTGGGGAGCCCAAAAGTGACGACAGTTACAGGGTTCCGATGACCCGCTCGGATTACCAACATGATCTGCGGGCCCCATAGGGAGGGGGCTCCCGCCTGAGACTTCCTCACAATTTACTCAACGATGATGAGGATGAGGATGATGAGTGGTGGTGAAGATGAGTGGTGAAGAGGATGATGATTGATTGTGAGTGGTGGTGGCGATGATGATGTTTGAATGAGGATGATGCCGATGCCGATGATGATGATGATGATGATGATGATGTTCGTGAGCGTGTGAGAGAGTGCGAGTGATGATGATGATGAGTATGTGAGTGACTAAGCATGTGAGAGAGCATCATCGATGATGCTGATGAGGTTGATGATGAGAGAGTGTGAGTGAGTGTGAGTGGGTGTGTGTGTGTGTTCCTGTTCCTGCGCGGGGTGTCCAGAGAAAACAAGAACCCCACTTTGGATGTGGGGAACAAAACTGTTCGAACTGCGCGTGACTTCCACGAGCCCGTTTTTCATGCCGCGTGCATCGATGCTACCGTTTGCCAAGAATCCAAGGCCATTAGTCTGAGCCAATGCGGAAGTGAACGCGCATTGGTGGGTACCTTGCTTTGGAGAGGACATCTTAGCGATGGCTTTCTCAGGGGGGCTCCCCGGCGACTTCTTTCGGCCACTGCGTCAGAAGCCCCACGCAACACGCGGTGGAAATAGATATCACCATTGGAACGCGATTTCCATAGCGACCAGGGGCCCGACGGTTTTGTTCTGTACGATAAGAGACAACGTGAATAAATGCGATGAAAAGAGCAAGTTGAGTGATCTCCTAGGAGAGAGCACGAACGTTTGCTCGCAAACAGCCGTGGCCGCTTCGACGGCTCGCGGGATAATCGAGCACTTGCGAGACGCGAGACACCAGTCTGGTTGTTGAAGGAATGTTTCAGTATCAGAATGAGCATAGCGACTATCACCTTGCTCCTGTACTCTCGAACTTGACTGACGTGTCCGACACCGACGTTGGATTGTTCGCGGGAGTAGCATGGAGGGATTCAGCCCACTTTTCATATCTAGCATCCGATGCTCCGAAGGCAGCGAAGGCTTTTGTGGGCGAGGCTGTTGAACGC